AAAAGAAAAGAAAAAGGATGACCGAGGTTGAATTAGACCGTGAGTAATCCTGGTTGAATTGATGTGATATAAGTCTGTGCACATGAAAGTCGGGTGACGATACCACCAGTCCGAACCCGTAGGTCTGGCTTATTGAGGCTTAATGCCCCAAATAGAAGCTTGGCTGGGATTGCGTAGTCCGGCACGTTTGTGTTGGCTGATGGGCTTGACAAGTCTGTTGAACGAGTGTCAAATCGGGTAGAAGCATCAGTCAGCTGACAAATTGAGTCATCTTCTTTTGGACGGCGGCTCAACATCCGCTATCTCTTTCAATCTTTCAATCATGCATACATAATTTCTACTCAACTTTCTACCACCATTGCTCATATTCGGCCGACGGGCATCGCCAACATCAGATCGACAACAGGGGCACATAATGCTGTAATAGCCGGATCTTGATAGTGGGTCATATTTCAATGTGAAAGCGGGCATAACTGAAGAAATTGTCAGAGTTTCTTTGAAAACTGTCTTTATCCCCCACTTCCTCACTAGTTCTGCCATCTTGTTGGAAATTAAACAGGACGGTAAGATTGGAGCATGAGAAGTGGTGTTGTTTTGCCTCTTTTTGATCAAATAAGCTCCGCCTCAAAAGTTATTAATTACTAAGTATATATTATAGTTAATTAAGCCCAAGGGATAATTATTCTTGTGGAATTAAACTTTCAATCTTCTTAACTCTTCGGTCGGATGATTGTCATCTTTCGGCCGCATAATCCAAATGAGCATAGATTTTGAAATTCCAACCTTAATTTTGTAGGTATGATTGTAAAGCAAATTAAGAACAAAGCCAGCATATGCTGGTTTATTATAAACATCATTGCCCAGCTTTTTATCTTCCCTCATATCCATTTCGTCAAAAAATGGTAATTTTCTAGGCGTAATGATTTACCTATTTCTACCAATAAGGAACTGGATGCGGTACCCAATGATTTAGTTAAAACTAGGCTTAAAGAAAGCAGGACAAATTTACAAGATCTGACTAGAACCAAGTCCCGACTTAGACAATCCCATTCTGAGATTCTAATTAAGAAAGACTTTGTCAAGTTACACGACATTCTTGATGGTATGGGTGAAGCAATCTATAAGATGATTAGGAGGGGTGATGATAAGAAGCTAAGAAACCCGGATATTAGTATCCGTTCAAGCGACCTTGTATCTGAGGTAAAGATTAATGAGGATAGGTCCAACCAATTTTGCAAATATAAGATAATTAATGCATCCAGAACGGAGCTGGAGCATGGTGTGAAAGTGCTACTGGAAAAAGAATTAAATTTTTCACTATCGGAAAAAGTAGAACATCCCCTGGGAATACCGGCTGAGCTAATTAGCTTCTCAGAGAGGTCACCTGAGCGAGTCAGGGATGGGGTAGGATTGAAGGTGCTTCCTCATTTTGACGAGGTAGTTACGCCGAACAAGTCCTTTGTTATGAGCAGAGTGTCTACAGGTTGAGTTCGTAATAATCCAATTGTTATGAAAGCCGGTGGTAGTCTTGGATAGGTTAATTGAAGATATGAAGACCAAGATGTTGTGGCCTCTGGTATGGTCGCAGTCTCGTTTCCATTCATAGAAATGGGTTGACCGCAACTTGGTCTTGTTGTCAAGGCGACTTAATAGAACGCACTTATTCCGAAGTCGTCTGCCATAGTAGTTGTTATGATTCCCAGTATCTGACAGTGGACTTGATACATCCTTAACCGTTTCGCCGGCATCGTAGTCGGAGCTTTGCCATTCTGCGCACCGAGCTACGAACTCGTCAAAGAGTCAAGTGAAGTCAGTCCCTCGACAAACGTTCTGTCGAAAACGATGACACTATTACTCCTCTTTCTGTCATGGCCTATCTATCTACTCTTTATTGGAACATTCATGCTGACGCTGTTTTGATGAAAAGGTGCTAAGCTTTCGTCCGTCAAATGACGAACATCATCAGAGCAAGGTATTATCGTCACGACCAAATTCAAGCTGACGAGTCAAGAAAATTTGACAGTTGGTCCTTTTGATGTACAGAAATGGTATGAACTCGTTTTGTCAACTTGGTCGTGTTGTCAGAACGACTTGGATGCGCCGTGTCCGAGGTCTTCTAGTATGGTATTTACCATAATTCCCAACTTTATACCGTGGACTTTCAGGCGAAATGTCTTGAAATGTACCTAGTCCATGATCCAAAGATGAGAATTATCATAACCCCTATAGCAGAGGATTTCGGATAGGATGCCTCCAACTAGGTCGCCCTGACAACGCGACCAATTTGCAAAACCGAGGTCAGACCACCTGCGAACAATTGTATAGTCTTTTCTTAAGTGTATAGGTCTTCGAGACTACCAGTAAATCGGATATTTAAGTTGTGTTCATCGTATTTCGTTTAAGGTGATGAAGGACTGGTAGAAGAAATTTCCCACAATGATATGAGTAGAGCTGACGTTTCCATTGAATTTCACATAGCCTTGCCTTCCCAAAAGTTGTTCTCATCCTGGGTGGATTTCAACTTCGACCTTGCCTAGGACTTATCAACACCCCAAGCGGGAGTCGAACCATGACAGTGCGGCGTTTAAGCTCAACACTTTAACCATTCTGCCACATTGCCACGAGTGCCCTCGGGTCACAGGGCAGATGTGAATTGCAAGTAATATCCGGTATTTTCCAATTACACGAACTCGGTTTCGAGACCTGTTGGTGGTTACAATGAGACTCGGGCGAGGTGGAAACTTCAATTTGTTCTGGCTGGGAAAGCCTATTTGCAGGCGGCTGCAAAAAGAAGGCGACGCAACTAATATATTTATTTTTTTTTTTGGTTCTAATGATAGTCAATTTTCTGTCCTTTTGGCTAACTGTTTCTCTCTCACATTGAGACCAAAAACTAAAAATAT